TTAGGTGGTGGATTGTTATTAGGTGGTGGATTGCTGTTAGGTGGTGGATTGTTATTAGGTGGTGGATTGCTGTTAGGTGGTGGATTGTTATTAGGTGGTGGATTGCTGTTAGGCGGTGGATTTGCGGGTGGAATTTCATTTACTACATTATCGATTGTATTATTAACATTATTAACTGGATTAACATTGTTGACTGTATTATTAACATCGTTGATTGGATTATCAACGTTGTTGACTGTATTATCAACGTTGTTGACTGTATTATCGACGTTGTTAACAACGTTGTTGACTGTATTATCAACGTTGTTGACTGTATTATCGATGTTGTTAACAACGTTGTTGACTGTATTATCGACGTTGTTGACTGTATTATCGACGTTATTCTCAACGTTGTTGACTGTATTATCGACGTTGTTGACCGTATTATCGACGTTATTGACCGTATTATCGACGTTGTTAACAACGTTGTTGACTGTGTTATCAACGTTGTTGACTGTATTATCGACGTTGTTGACTGTATTATCGACGTTGTTGACTGTATTATCAACGTTATTGACCGTATTATCGACGTTGTTAACAACGTTGTTGACTGTATTATCGACGTTGTTGACTGTATTATCGACGTTGTTGACTGTATTATCAACGTTATTGACCGTATTATCGACGTTGTTAACAACGTTGTTGACTGTGTTATCAACGTTGTTGACTGTATTATCGACGTTGTTGACTTTATTATCGACGTTGTTAACAACGTTGTTGACTGTATTATCAACGTTATTATCAATGTTGTTGACTGTATTATCAACGTTGTTGACTGTATTATCGACGTTGTTGACTGTATTATCGACGTTATTGACTGTATTATCGACGTTATTGACTGTATTATCGACGTTATTGACCGTATTATCAACATTGTTAACAACGTTATTGACTGTATTATCAACGTTGTTGACTTTATTATCGACGTTGTTGACTGTATTATCGACGTTGTTAACAACGTTGTTGACTGGATTAGCGTTGTTGACTGTATTATTAACATTGTCGATTGTTTTATTAATTGAATTATTAACGCTGTTGATTGTATTGGGTAGCGTGTCATTGACTGGGCTTACTTTATCAACCGTGTTATCAATAACCTTAGATGTATTTGATATTATATTAGGTACATTTGCAACAGTTTCATTAATTGGTTTGGTTACGTTATGAACCGTATCACTGACTGGGCTTGCTTTATCAACCGTGTTATTAATAACCTTAGATGTATCTGGTATTATATCAGGTACATTTGTAACAGTTTCATTAATTGGTTTGGTTACGTTATGAACCGTATCACTGACTGGGTTTGCATTATCAATCGTGTTATTAATAGCCTTAGATGTATCTGGTATTATATTAGATACATTTGCAACAGTTTCGTTAATTGGTTTGGTTACGTTATGAACCGTCTTAAGCGTGTCACTTACTGGACTGGTTACGCTATTAACCGTGTTATCAACTTTAGTATTATTAACCTCTTTAGCTGTGCCATTATTGTCAGTCTTATCGGTTTTAACATTATCTACAATATTATCAGTTTTGACAACGTTATCGATTTTGGCATCTTTGGGAATAACATCATTGACTTTGACATTATCGGTCTTGATGACATTATCTGGTTTAATATCAACAACTTTGACACTATCGGTTGTGACAACATTATTGGCCTTGGTCTTGGTCTTGATGACATTATCGATTTTGATAACATTATCGGTTTTGATAACATTATCGGTTTTGGTAACATTATCGGTTTTGGTATTATCTGGTTTAATATCATCGGCCTTGACATTATCGTTTGTGACAACATTATTGGTCTTGACATTATCGGTCTTGACATTATCGATCTTAACATTATCGGTCTTGATATTATCAGTCTTGACATTATCGGTCTTAACATTATTGGTCTTGATATTATCAGTCTTGACATTATCGGTCTTGATATTATCAGTCTTGACATTATCGGTCTTGACATTATCGGTCTTGACATTATCGGTCTTGACATTATCGGTCTTGACATTATCGGTCTTAACATTATCGGTCTTAACATTATTGGTCTTGATATTATCAGTCTTGACATTATCGGTCTTGATATTATCAGTCTTGACATTATCGGTCTTGATATTATCAGTCTTGACATTATCGGTCTTGATATTATCGGTCTTGACATTATCGGTCTTGACATTATCGGTCTTGATATTATCATTCTTGACATTATCGGTCTTGACATTATCGGTCTTGATATTATCATTCTTGACATTATCGGTCTTGACATTATCGGTCTTGATATTATCAGTCTTGACATTATCGGTCTTGTCTATCTTAACATCATCAGATTTGATATTATCGGTCTTGACATCATCAGATTTGACATTGTCTGCTTTGACATTATCAGATTTGACATTATCAGTTTTGATAATATTATCAACATTTACATCCTCAACTTTTTTACCATTATCAACTTTGTCACCATTGTCAACTTCGTTACCATTATCGACTTTATTGCTATCAGTCGAATTATTAACATTATCAACTTTGTCACTTACATTGCTAATTACATTTGTAGAATTTTTGGTTAAACCCGTCAAATCCACCATTTAGTGGTAAGGGTTATGTCGAAATAAATGGTAAGTAAAGTCCGTTTTAAAAGAAAGAAAAGGGGGCAAGAAATTAAACGACCGCCAGCAGGAAAGAGATTATTTAATCAGAACCAAACAGATGCTATTTAAATGTTATTCATTGAGTGTTATCTTATAAATAATACAACTAAATTTGTGTTACATTTTTTCGTTTAAAAAAAAATTTTAAAATCTTTCCAGTCCGTGTTTTGTTTCAAGTATAAATGTGGTTTCCTTTGTTTATTTATACTATATAAAATAAAAAATTATACATTTACCGGAATTACATATGCACACTGCACACATGTATTAAAATTATATAAACACGCAGTTTCCCGAAGTCTCGGGATGATTATCTTTATCGTTACTCTCTAAATTTGTGCGCACACTTGTGACTATCACTAAATGTCTTTTCTTTAGTTAGATAGTGAGTTCAGTAAATTTTTTTTTTTCAGTCCATTCTTTTTCCGTTTTCTTTTATTAAAAAATATACTGTGTAATTCCAAAAATAAATACCCAAAAAATAAGCACCCCTATAACAAAAAGGGGTGCTTATTTTTAGAACTATATCAATTCTGACGTTTACATATGCTGTTATTTATTTCATGCCTAATAACTATTTATTCTTTCTTATCATTCTTAATAGTAAATTCAATAATAGTATATCGGTATATCGTCCTATAATTAAAATTTTATATTTATACAGACTTTAAATAAATTTATATACTGTATAATGATATACTGTATAACGATGTATACTGTATATTAAGTAGAGCGTACAAATTAATGTATTAAATCGGATTTCCGGTAAATATTTTACTTTACAAATTTAGTGAATTCCACAAATTTTGTCCCCCCCCCTTCTAATTGTTACTAATTTTACTCCAATAGTATAATGGTAAACGGTAACAATATGTAGTGATATGATGGTGGAACTTGTAATTCTATCTAACACTCAACTTTTTTCTTGACGCAACATCTTTGAATATATTTACTATTTACGTAAAGGTGATCTAAATACAATATGAAGCAATCTGTAGTGCATCTACCACAATCTACTGCCTGAATAAATCAGATGCTAATAGTATAATCATAATTTTTAATATATCATTGCATGTTAAAATAACTTGTTCGACATCACGATATATTTTAAACAGGCGTACCGAATATTTAATTGTAGAGTTAATTGATTGTAATTACTTGATCTCAATTAATTAACTGGTGGCGCAGCCACAATTATTCAATTAATTGCCGGAGTTTGTAAAACGTGTTGTAATTAAACACATGCAAAAGTATATTTTAATGATCTTGATGTAATTGAATAAAAAAATTAAAACTATTAACCGATTTCTTTTAGCAACTTGCATAATTTAAAGGCACATACATCAAACAGCGCTCTAAATATCTATTTTAAATTGGTTCCAATGAGCGCAAAAGTTTCAAACAAATGTTACATATAGGCTTTTTTCACCTAAATATGATGGTAAGCGCTTTTGTAATTTGTGTCTTCCTGGTTCACAGCTGATAACCTCCAAAAGAATCGGGTTATACGAATTTAATGAATCATTTAAAGCAAGACATTAATATTTTAAATTACTTTACCACAGCAAATCAAAATGATATATTTACAATAAACTCTGCTACATCTATCTGATAGCAAAAGTGTGCTCAATAATTTTAATTGAGTTAACCTTATCATAAAATGCTAATTTTATTTGGTAAATTAATTTTTTTTAATTTCAAAATTCGATATTATTAAGTTAAACTTATATCGTAGCAAAATTGCAATTAATTGCAATTATTAGCAATTAATTTAAATGTAATTGTTATTTATTACAATTTTATTTAATCGTAATTGCATAAAAATTTAATTCCAATTAAATTTTCGGTACCCCTGATTTCAAATAATAAAGTATAATTTGTGGAAAAAAGCCTAACCCCAAAAAAAACCAAGATAAGTAAAATACAACATCCTATCTTGGCAACTAATAAAAGTCGGAGAAAGGTAATAACTGATAACGGTATTCAGCATGATGCATTCGCTAAATGCCCCAAAATTTGCTAAATTTGACTACTAATATGTAAATATAGATTTTACTGAAATAATCAACATTCCCCAAGTTCGATGCGTCATTTTAATAAATTCCTATGTTTTAATGAGGTAGAGAGATGAGTTAGGCTGTGGGGGAAATGGGTTAGACTTGTTACTGATACAGATCAGTGGTCCAAAAAACTTTTTCGGGGTTTAACATTGATTGATTTAATATAAATTTGGTGACCAATTGTTTTCTTTAACGATTTCGTGTAACAATATTGTGTATTAAAAATATATTAATAATAACATCGTTATATAATAATGGATTTTCTCTAACTTAAGCTATATTAATTCCGTAACACAATATAATCGATTGTAACCAGGTAAGATTGGACTATTTTTGTGAGTTACATTTACTTACATAATACTATGCTGAAAACATAAAAATATTAATACCCACAGAAAAAATTACGAATACTATTTAACCCTCTATAAGCAAATATTCTATTCATAGAAGCGCATGCATTATGCACACACTATCTAATTTCTCCCTTTTATGGCGCCTAAATTCACAATAAAGATGGGAACTTTGTTCTCTAACTGTGTGCATCTAATTTTTTATAAATTGCATAGATATTATCGAGTAGTAATTAAAACTCGAAACGTGGTCTGCAAGTTATCTTTTTATGGTAATTTCGGAAAATCCACGGTAGTAACTAATAGATGAGTGCTGCCAAGAAAAAACCTACATTCAGGCTTTCAATTATATTTTGTGTATAGTCAGTATCCTGAGTGCCATCTAAAGAAAATCTATCACCGGACTTAAATCATATTTTGTAACAAGTAATTACAAATATAATCGAAATTTTTTCTAGAAGACAAACTGGTCACAAACTATAATTGAAAGCCCAAATGTACTTGGTAGCACTCATATGATATATAGATAAATTAGGTAGCTGCAAGATGTAGTCGCGCTTAAACCAGGAACGTAGTACGATCGCTAGACTTGTATTAAGGATCCGAGTCTAGTGACGAGCTTTCTGATAATTTTAAAAATATTGCCAATTTTCCTGTGTAATCTATTTCAAAGTATTGTTCATCTTAAAATTAATTAAATTTATGATATACTATGAGCAAAAATATGTTTTTTGCATTTATTTAAATTGTAAATGTGTATGAAATACGCATTACTTATAAAAATCTTTGAATAGTGATGGACAACTTAGATATAGGTAACCAATCTCTGAGTTTCTTACATAAAACACTGGATATTTAATGGTAGAAGCTTTTGCAATGTGGGTGATTCCTTTAATAAAATATTAATTGATTATAAAGTTGGATCGCCTATGTCTGTGAATGGGCACATACATAAGCTATGTAGCAAATTACTACGCAAGTTATCAGCCTAATTTTAAATTTTGACCAGCATTAGAAAATAATCATGTTGTTACGAATAACCTAAATAGAAAATGATGGACGTATATTTCAAAATTTCTTGATTCTATAGTAGCTTCCTCTAGAGTATATTCATTTAAATGGTTTAAGTATTTATCATTCCTAGTTTTATACAAATTAACAAAAATAATATAACATATCCTGCTCAATTTGATTCTAACAAAACCTTGAAATACAGTATTTTGTAATTTTATTCCTAATCTTGCTCAAGATATTAAGAATTCATAAATACAGAATATTACAATAGACAATGAACTTTGGAATGAAACTGTTAAGTTGACGGATTTGACAGATTTACATATTCGCAACAAGCGAAATGGCTTAAAAATTATTGAATTAAAATTTATACTATGTATTCCAAAAATTGAATGGTAATATAAAAACTTAGAAAAAGTGAACCATTTTCTTAAAGTATGAAATGAATGAAATAAAACACTTTCTACTAATGAAAGGTTGAAATAGTTTTGATTAGTAAAACTATTGTGAAATACATATTTTTAAGACTGTTGCAATTGATATCTGAAAATCGGCAAAATTCCCTAATATTAGCATCTTTTTTGCAAATAAATCTAAATTTCTTGCTAGCTAATAAAAAATTTCAAAATCCTTTTTTATTTTCACTTTTCTGATACTGTATCTAGCAATATTGAAAATTGGTTGTAGGTTTGGCTAAACAAAATGGGAAATTATATATATTCTTTTTACAAATATAAATAAATTCTATAAACCATAATTAAACGTTTTTATTATATAAAAAATTATGTTTTTTATTTTTATTTTTCTTATATTATATCTAGCTATACGCAAAAGCTGGCTGCATAAAGTAGGAAATTTCATTTTTTTTATCAATTTTAAATAAATTCTATAAACTATAATTAGACTTTATATTCAATTATATAATATAAAAATTAAATTTGTTTTTTTTTTATTTTTATAATACTTTATCTAGCTATGCATAAAAGTTAATTGAAGGTTTGACTAAATAAAATAGAGAATTACACATTTTTTTTCTACTAATTATAAATAAATTCTATAAAAATATAATTAGATATTTATATTTAAATTGTTTTTTACTTTTATTTTTTTTGATATACATTATCATACCTGTCTCAAATGCTCTCTTCCAATTGGTTATACTAAGAGAAATGAGCATCAAATACTGTATTTAGTTATATACAAAATTAATAATAGATTAAACAGAGAATAGCAATCCTAGTATAGTGGTTGGGTTGTCATCCTTCAAACAGTAGGTCCAGATTTCAAATCCTACTAGTAGCAGAATTTTGAAAAATAGTCTTATTCTGTCAACTTGAATAAGGTATCTGGGATTGTAATCTTGTAATTCTAATTATGCCAAGACTAATTTTGGAAGTATGCAAGATTATATATATAAATCCAAGAAGTATATACTCTATAAGAAGTCCTGTTTGGAAATCTGGAGTAAAAAGATAGTATGATCTTTGATGATATCATCTGTGAAAATTTTGAT